TGTGTAAAATCAAGCTTCTATTTTAACTCAGATTCATTGACTTACTGGGAAAAAATCTTATTGAGTGATTACAATGTGCTAGTTCCTGTAAGAGCTATGTCAGCTGCTGTGAGTACACCAGAGCTGCCCTCCAGAAACTTCCTAGACTCTAGGGAAGGACACAAGTGAATAGTTTATAAAGATTGGCTGCCCCTCTAAGAAGAAGGAACTGCCATTCCATTACAAAATTCATGTCGGCTTAGGAAAGAACTAGCAAAGTTTCTTCAGGGTCTTAAATACCAAACAGAGGCAATAATAACTGATATGAAGATCTTGACAATGAAAAAAAAATTATGAATATAATGTTTGGGAATATTTATATATTAACAATGTATAATATTATTAAAGGTATATAGAAAATTTAGAAGCACAAAATACAAGACCATTTCAATAGCTCTTAAATAAATATTTGAGAATAATGTCTAAAATCAGCTAATTGTCATGGAAATGGAAAGGAAATGATTGATGTAAGAGAGATGGGAAATAGAGAAAATGACCACTATACCACTAGGCATAGGCATAGAAAAACAAATCCTCTCCTGCTAATGCATAACTGGAGAAAATGTTAAAAATGATCACCATAGGCTCAGAATTTACAATCTTTTAGTCTTCTCCAGGAGGCATAACATTTAAAAGAGAAAATTTATTTAGCTCTCAGATATTTACATCACCATTCAAACATACGAGGACAAATTTATTAATTGATAATATTGTTTCAATATTTAGTATTCTAATTAGTTTCTTTGTTCATTAGATATTAGATGTTGATATATGAGATGATAAACACATTATACAATCTCCAATCATCAATTTTTAATAATGGATATGGCTTTGTGGAATTTGAGCAATAAAAATACAAACCTAAACTGGGATACAGTCACAACAAAGAACGTGATGACATGCCAATTCAAATCAAAACAATGAGATGGCATTATGATTTGTGAACATTTGATATATAAATATCAAGCACTACATGTATAAAGTTGCAAGTATAGCAGCCAATTAAATCCACCTATATATACATTATTGCAAAACTTTTCGTGAGGGTGAGTAAATTTCACCATCCACTGAAGTCTAACTTCATCAGATGAGCAACCATCTTCAAAAAAATCTGTAATCACTGAAAATCCTAACATAGACTATCAAAGTACAATATTTACTTACGTTTCTTAACTTTCTTTACTTGTAAGATACTAAATATTTCCATTGCAGAAAATAAGTTGATCATAGTGATCAAAACACATGCATTAGGGGAGACTAAAAAATACTCAGTACAGCACATAATTTGATAATCATTTAAAAGGGAATTTTTTCCTCAGTTCCAAGTTGAAGAATCTGACTACATTTAAATGATAGAAGTCACTCAGATAAATGAGTAGAGTTTTGGAACTAACTTTAATATGTCAAGATGAGCAAACTGAAAATATGTACAGAAACTGCTAATTATCTCGCAATTAGTATTTTCTCCATTCTCTCTTTAGTAATAGGACTCTATACTTTATTTGGGTGCATGTCTTTTGTGGGGGGTGGGGGGAATTATATTCCACATCTTCTTGCAACTAGGCAAGGCTAGTCACTAAATTGTGGACAAAGGGTACAGATAGAAGTGAGGTGTGCAACCTCCAGAACATGCCCTTAACAGCAAAGGGCATGTCCTCTATTGTCACTTGCCTCCTTCCTGTTTTCTAGAATACAAAAATCATTGTGCATATTGGAGTATCAATCTTGGACCACAACAGGGAAAAGCTACGTTGAGGAGAGCAGACAATGTGAGAAAGACCATGGAAGATGATAGAGAGTTGCCCTATTAGGCCTTGTCCCCACAATGTTACATGAGAGTGGAATAAACTTTTGTCTTGTTTTAGCCACTTTTATGTTAGGTCTCTCTATAACAGCCAAACCAATATACTAATTATTAAATGTGGTTCATTTTTATTCAATGCCTAAGGGCTTACAAGAGCAACAGTATTATCATAGCTAAAGTACTCTGAATTTCCCCAATAAAAAGTTGTAGTGAAGCATAAAATGAATTATCTTACAGTTCTTTACAAATTCTCAAAAATTTTACATGAAATAGTTCAATTCAAAGCTTGACTATATTAGCAGGATTCCAAGAATATTCAGAACTGGAATGAAATATATGGATCACCTAGTCAACTATAGCATGTCTTAGATGAGGGAAAAACAGTTTTAATTTTAATAGGTTTTAATGCCATATGAGTGATTACAATTTTAGGGCTGGACTAGGATATGAATCAAAGCCTCTGATTCCTCTTTTAGCACTCTTTCTACTATGCAGTATTCTTGGCAAATTATTCTGGCACTGTTATTGTTTATATATAAAGAAATGGAAATAATTTCTCCAAACGCTGAGCATGATTTTTAATTTTTTAATTTAGAAGTTGATATTTTGCCCTTTATAGGGTTTTGACTTAATTTGCTAGAGCTAGTCTCATGGCCTAAAAAAAAGAATACATCCTTTTTATAGGCATATTTATAACCCACAGTAATATTATAGGCTTTTTTGGATGGGAGAAGGCAAAAAAACAGGGCAAGTTCAATAGATTGACTTATATTAATTCTTTTCTCTCTTACACAGTTTTATTTGAATATATGAATAAACATCTGTGTAGGCAAATTATGTAAATGTAAACATTGAGTACAACTCAAGCATTACAAGTATGTAACCTGTGTGCACTTTTCCACTTATAATGAACACGCATGCTAACTTTGCAGCATAGTGATTGAATGTAGGATGGTACTTACTGAACAGTCATATCTACATTTGTGCATATGATTGTTAAAATCTTGAACAAACTGGCTATTTCTATGCAAAATAAAAAATAACTTTCTAAAATTAATAAGCAAGCTTGACTTAAGCAAATGAAACTGTTTTACTTGACATTAAAAATGTAACTTTAGTTTAGAGAAAAAAATATGTATTTGCAGTATTGGTATCATTATCTTTAGGCAACATTCGATTGGAGGATTGGATCACAGCATGTTAATCCATTCACTTTGTTTATTATAAAATCTTTTTCATAGTTTCACAAACTAAATGTTTAATAACAGTTGAAACAAGGAAAGTTGATGAAAACTCTGCATATATATATATATATATATATATAGTGTGTGTGTGTGTGTGTGTGTGTGTGTGTGTGTGTGTGAGGAAGATCAGC